CACACACACGCACACACACAAAAGGGTATAGCTAACATTGGGCAAGGTGAGTCCTTATCCAGAAGTCAGATGCGTGCTGGGCAGACTGTCGAGGTTCAACCTCCTGATTCGTCGGAGAAAGCCCCACGAAACAGACGTTCGAGGAAACAATCTGTCACAGTCACCCTTCTTTTGCGTACTTGTGTTTACCAAGAATGCACACACACACACACACACACACACACACACACACACACACACACACACACACACACACACACACACACAGAGATAGAACGTATACACGCCCCACGCACACTCCGGTGTGAATGTCTGTGTTCTGTATATCGGCTACAACTGCACAAATTTCTGTAAAATACATGCTGCTGAACAGTCGTGCATATTGGTCCTTGGCCTGTTTCGTAGCGGGACAAACGCGCCTCTGTTCAGTTGGATGAATAGCACACATCGGAATCACTATCAAAGGAACAACTGTGTGTGACATCGGCAGATATATTCCACACATAACAACAATGAGAACAATACAAGAATATTAAAAGAAATCATCATAATCGTAATCATCATCATCATCATCATCATAAAAATAAATACGTTCCACTGTTCCCCGCAGGACGAGGAAAACCGGGACTGGGAGTGCGAAAAAGCCCGGGGGGGGGAAAAGATCATTCATCGAATGATCACTGACAACTCCAGGAAGTCATGATCATGTCTCAACAGACAGGCACTAAATGAATTATGAATTTGCCACTAAAATTGACTAAACGCATATTCAAGATAATTCATGACAATTCGTCGCGGATCAGGCAGGCAATTTATTTGTACAGTTTTTTTTTTGGGTACATTGCACCTGCCGAGGAACAGCATATGCTCACATACGCGGGAGGATGTTGACTGTATTTAGTCCTCGACTGTATCTAGCCCAAACTGAAGGCAGATACAGACTGAGTGGGAGTATGCGCAGTGGAAGAGGGACATCCGAGCAAGCAAGCCTCCGGCGCCTGGCGGCGAGGACTATGCTTCATGGAGAAACAGCCATCGCTCCAGGGGTGTCTGTGTCCCTCGGGGTAGAGAGGTGGGGCATCGCCACCCGGCACAACGAAAACCAACAAAAAAGCGAGTGCATCTTCCCACAGGAACTGGGAAGATTCATCCGCTAGTAGCAGCGTCGGCCATGGAATGGCCATGGCCTCGCATCCTCGCAACACCGTCTGTCTGCACTGATAATAATGATGACGTCTACACTAACGAGTCACCTTCTTCGCCTTCCGCTACTGGAGTAGCGGAAGGCGGTGGGATCCGCCGATAGTGGTTAGTAAAGGGCGCCAAGAAGCGCACGGGCAACGAGAAGAAACGCGGAGGAGGAGGAGGAGGAGGTGGAGGAGGAGGGGGAGGAGGGGGAGGAGGGGGAGGGGGAGGAGCAGGCGAAGGAGGAGGAGGAGAGGAGAGGGGAGCAGAAGAAAGAGGCGGGGCTTGAGGGAGTGGGGAAGGGGAGGACCTGCTGCGCGCCGAGCTTCCCCCGCCGCTAGCTTTGGATGAAGCTTGACTCAAGGATGACGTCAACTGAAGTGCACCCCGACCAGGGGAGCGTCCCACCGAAAGCAGTTGGTTCTCTCCTTCTTCCCACCACGACGGCGATGGCGGCGCCTTCGACGGCGACGCCCCAGATCCCGACGATCCCGACAGTCTGCTCAGGGCAGCAGACAGATGACGGCGCGCAGTGACACCCCCCACCCCCTTGGGGTCACCAATCGCCTCCATCGTTTCCAACCTGTGCGATGCCATCACCATCATCTGGCCATTGTTGGGCGGCGACATGGTCGACATCGCCGGCGATGGCCGTCTTGTCCTCTCAGACCCCCCAGACATGGAGAAGTCATCAAAGAATGGAGATTCATCCCCCCTGTCACGCTCATCAACCCTCCTCCTCCCCTCATCGTCCTCCTGGTCGTAGTCATAATCCTCCTTGGCATCATGACCTTCGTCTTCAGAAGGTGAAAACCGGAGGGCTCCTGCTTGAGAGCTATTACCTCTCCTTGTCACCCTTTTGTCGCCGACAGGAGGGAACCGATGATGTGGGACAGGAGGGGACCGATGATGATGATGATGATGTGGGAATGGGATGTTGTCGAAGAGACGATTCAAGGCATTGGGAGAAAGGTAGGAGGGTCCCGCCGAACTACAAGAATCGCGATTGGCTTCTTCTGCTTGAGAGGCATAGTTGTAGTCACGGTCACTACTGCGGCCACTAGAGCAAGGAGCAGCTGCGCGAGGGGTAGGTGGGAAAAAGGGAGAATAAGGAGGAGAAGGAGAGGGAGAGAAACGAGTGGGAGGCGAAGGTTGGAATCCAGTCTCCAAGCCTAACTGCGAACGAGAGGCTGGTACAGGGAAGAGACGAAGGTTCGAACCCCAGCTGAGCTTCGGCCAACCGGCGTCGAGATCTGCCGATCCCCGTCGACTCCGTATCTTTCTCCTAGTCGTGTTGTTGTAAGTACAATCATCCGGCGAGAAGTTCCAAACGATGTTTCTTCCCCCTGCTCGGCGCGCTTCATCCTCCTCCTCCTCCTCCTCATCCAGCATGCGCACACTGACACTGCGGCTTGGATATCGAGCCGAGATCCCTTCCGACGTGGCAGGAGAGATCCCGATCCCATCAGATGATGATGAAGGGCCATACCCTCCATCACCAGGGGAGAGAAACATGTTCCCGATGCTGATAACCTCGCTGCAACTACTGCCATCGTCATTCGCATCGTTGACACTGCCATGTGCCTTCTTGTCTGCCACCTTCTGCAATTCTTGAAGACGATGGCGATGGCTGCTCTCAGAGGAGCGTGGCGACGAATCCCTAGCGCCGCCGTCTCCTCCTCCTCCTACTACTACTACTCGTCTTTCTACAACCATGTCTGTATTCTTCCCCATCTCTACAGCCGAAGAGAGACCACTTGCTACACCACCTTCTCCTCCTCCTCTTCTTCCTCCGCCTACCACTCGTGTTCGCTCGGATCCGCACTTCTTGTCACTCCACACCTTTGTAATTCTTCTCCTCCCCCTCCGCTCATCCCCTTCCTGCCTCCTTCGCCTGTTCAGTTCGCTATCACTGCAGTAACCAGTGGTGGTATTATTCCGAGCCTTACTTCTCCCTCGTCCTGACTTCCGCACTGATGTCCTGCCATTCCCACTGCTGCTACCCACTTCTCCTCCTCCTCCTCCTCCTCCTCCTCCTCCTCCTTCTCTGCGTCCGCGACCGTCTGATCCTCCTAAATCTAGGGCTTTAGGTTCTACCAGCAGCTGTTCTGCCTTTTGTGCAACCGCAACAGGGTGACTGCCCGGATCCCGATTGGGTTCGCCGCTGGTCCCTATCCCGATTCCGCTCCCAACTATTTTCACAGCTTTCCAAATTGCCTCACGCACTTTGGCCACATTGCTCACGACCCCTTCCTGCTGTACCGCGCCTCCAGGAACAGATCCCGATCCCGTCTGCTCCGCCTGTTTGCGCTCCACCCGATCATCTCCTCCCGCGCCGTTCCCGCCGCTTCCGCCCTTCGTCCCGACTCCCCCGTTGCCGCTCGCACCTCCCGCGTTCACTCCATTCACGTTCTCCACGTCGGCGGCGGCGGCGGCATCCTCCTCCTCATCGTCATCGAATCTTACCCTCCGCCTGCCATGACGGCGCCGACCACCGGAACTCGATCCCGATCCTCCCCCTCCTCTTCCCCCTCCTCCTGCTCCCGCTCCTCCATCGCCTCCTCGCAGTTCGTCGTCTTCCTTCACGATGGACAACGCTCTGCGTCGTCTGGCCGACTGCCGTGCTCGGCGAAGGGATCCCGACGTCGGTTTCTCCATTCGCAAGGGTCCACTGCTCACCCCGCCTCCGAGCCCTCCCTCTCCCCATACTCCTCCTCCCCCTTCCGCTCCCGCCCCCCCTCTGCCGCCGGCCGTCGGCCATCTGTGGCTGGTCATCCGACGCCCAACCTCGCTGGATGCCGGACTGCTGTGCCCCCCCCCTGGCCTTCCCACACCACTCAAGATGGAGTGCGACGGACTGCTCGCCCTACTCGCCCACGGCATCGACGGACTGATTGGCTTAGCCCATTGTCCCTCCGACGGCGGGCACTCGAGGAGCCATTGATGATTCCTGTTCGTCTGGCGATTAACAGTCC